ATGAAGGTGGTGTCAACAGAAATCAAAATATTTCACGGAGTCGTAGCTTGGCCGCTCTCGCCAATCTCAACCCTTCTGAGAAAGATGTGATCGACAGTCTTCTTCAAGCTGTCGTGAGCTCTTGTACGGCTCTCAATGGAAGCGCATTGAGACACTTACCATCTTTATTGCTCGTCACCGTCACAATTGCTTCTGCTAAAACAATCATTGCAGAGACTCTCCTCGGCCCAGCTACTTGCCAATTCTGCTATCATAGATTGGCTCCTGTACACGCCCCTTCGCTAATTTCACCTTTTTCGACAATATAAACGCTTCTAACGCAGCCCCGTCGGAAGTCTTGATCATGTGCATCGAGAGAACACTCTAGTTGAATCCGTATCTCCCGTCGGACCGCCTGAGGAGACGGGAAAGATACCTGTCCGTCACAAGCTCGTCAGACATTCGAGCCTCTCGCCTCTTGCCTCTTGCCTCTTTTACCTTATATCACTGCCCGGATCCCGAAGAAAGGTGCGTGCACTTCTTTATCTCCCCTTTTTTGCCCAACTGCAACTCATCATGTCTTTCTTTCAGGCAAAAAGCCGTGTATTTCCGAAAAATAAAGATCGGCGCTCGATTCAATTCTTCGGGAACGGGAATCAATAAGGGGCTGTCAAAATCACAGAAATCTTGATTTCTTCGATAGCTCGACTCGATGTAGCACGAACGCAAATGCAGTGCAGCGAGACCGAGCACAATACAATGAGTTGCATGAAGTGCGCCCTTTGACAGGGCGGGGATTGTGGAATGACGTGGCATCTTCGGTTGCACAAGGAAAGGAGTGGTGTGGGAAGAAGGAGGGCGAGGACAAAGCGTGCGAAGTCGATGGACTCCAGGGAAAAGTACGGCTTCCCTTTTTCACACGGGACTGTCTCGGTCAACCTTATTTTGTGCATTGCTCTGTCCGTTGAATCAGTCTGAAACGAAAACAAATGATGCAATGGAAGGTTGGGCAATAAGCCTAGCTGTTCTGACTGAAGAGGTGCTTGAGGCGATCGATATCTGCAAGCATCAATATCGTCAATGTAGCCTCGACGGACCTCACTAAGTTCGCACAGAGGTCATGTGCTTCCGATTCATTCGCTCGGTCATGTTTAGCTTTCCCGACGCTGGATTATGCCAGAAGATTTCCTATACTGGTGCAGAGGCAAGAAGACCCGTCCCATCAATCTCTAGGAAAGCGTGATGTTACTCTTACCCCGGGTCGTCACGTTTGTGCAGAGAGCTCGTTCATCCCGGGACTCCCTCCTGACCGTTTACTTCTCTCCATCCTGTGTAGGCCAGCAACATGCCGAAGACTTCGGAGCCGGGTAAGCGCAGGTCCCAATTTTTCGAGTATAAGCGCATGCTAAGGCCCTCCTTGTCGGCGTTTGTTCCCCGAAGATTTTTATTTTTCTTTTCGGAGAAAAGCGTCCTAAGCGGCGCCCACGGACAAATTTGCAAGTTGCCTGCGCCATGCTCATTCATGGCCTCGACTGCTCAGACTAAGAGGGAAAGAGAAGTGCTTTATTTGGCTTGGCTGTCCTTTCATTTACAAGTGGCAATGCTTGCTTGCCTTGATCTTTTGTGCTATTCTTCGTTGCTATTGGAGAAGGGGAGAATCGCTGAAGAAGTTGAGATTTGCCGTAATGAGAGTATGTGACATCATGTCCGAGGCAGGTAATCGTCCAATGCGATCAAGATACTAGTAATGTGGTCCATGATACTAGCAAGGTGGTCCATAGTTCTTTTTTTGGACGCACCGCGACTCTGTACTGGGATTCGAGGACGGGCTTGGATTCAACAAAAGGACGACACCTGGGTCTGCGTCATGTTGGCGGGTCCTCGTCGGCCTTGTGATCGAGGTACGAGACGAGTTGGGCTGGAGAAATGGCGGCTCGCAAAGCCATCGTCCTCGGGTCGCAGAGCCTCCTCTTGTTCATCGGCCGCGCCGTCGCTTGCTCTGCGCATGTAGCCGTGACGAGTCCGTGGCACGGCCAGTGGGTTGCTGGACCGCCCCTCCTGGAGATGGATGTCGTACTGTCCAACCGAAACTGCGTTCGCCCCTCGTCCGCTACTGCTCGCTGCCAGACTGAGCGACGTATGGAACGTGGACAGGAAGTTGTCGTAGGACTGAAGGAAGCAGACAGGAAGATGCCCCCGCCACACACGATATTAAGCCAGCCGGTGGCAAGATTGTAGTGATAGAAAGCCGGGGCAAGGGCTTCAGGACTTTTGCTGATCACGCCGAGGTCCACTGCAGTGATGCCGATGACGACGATCGAGTATGCAGTGAGCGCCGAGATGAGATAACTGAGAAGAAAGAGGAGGTTGATCAGCTCGCGCTGCAGCTCGCGATTGCGAAGCCGCTAGACGACCGAGGACTGAACACGCCGTGGACGTCCGAGTCTGTCAACGGGCACTCTCAGGCTGGGCGATCTGGTCGTCGAGCAAAGGTTTGAGTCAGGAGTTTGGCCCTCGCCATCTTTAGATGCAGAGACATCTGTCGAAGAAAATTCGCGCTGTTTGTCGCCGAGCTCCGCTGGCGGAGGTACGCTGAGGCGCGCAGCGAAGTCCAGATCGTCCTCTTCGTCGTCCACCTCGACCGGGAAAGGCTCCGTGAGAGGTACAGAGAAGATCAAGTCGTCGTCGTTCTCCTGATTGTCGAGCCCGCGCATGCGGACGATGAGCTCATAGGCCAACACGAGTCCCACAATGAATTGGAACAAGGTGGTGAGCCAGGCGAAGGCGGTCCACTCGCAGAAGCCGACAGTCCCCCACCACCAAGCCAGCTTGAAGTACTCCCAGACTTTGATGGCGGCGGCGTTCTCCTCCGGTCCAGCCAGATCCGTGCCTTTCGAAGTGGCCAAGGCAAATTGCAAAGCTTGTCGACGCTCGTCGCTGGTCTTGTAATGACGGCCAAACTGAATCCAAGAGGCAATCGTACACCCTAAGACCGCTGCGGACACCAGTACCAAAAAAGGATTGCTCGCCCTTGCAGCCAAATATCGCCAATAGAGTGAAGGTCCGCTTACGTTTGGCTGCTGTTGTCGCCAGGGCAGGCTGGGAATCGACTGGAACATGCCCTAGACGGACAGCCAAGCGGCAAACCATACGATGAGCCAAGGGTATAGGAGCCAGTAGCCAAGCATGAACGCGCTGACATGGCCATGGAAGATGGAGACGACAATCCACTCGAAGGCGATCCAAAGAGCGCCGAAGAAGAACTTGAAGAGCTAGAGATTGGGGTTCAAGCAGGTGTGGTCGCTAAGCTTTAGCTTTAGACAGCGGAGCCGCATCAGGACTTGCATGAACTCACCAGCAGGCAGTTGGTGCTGTGGGGGACGATGACAATTGCACCACCTGTCGAGGCTTGCAGACAAAAGAGGGTGAGGCGTCCTTCTCGAACGCGCTTGAACATGGTGAGGAAGCCCACGATCATAATCAGAACAAGTCTGGCGGTGTGGATGTCGATCCGCACATAGTAGGAGTCCGACAAGCACAGCTTGAAGAACGCACCAAGAAACTCATTAAAGTGAGCCTTGATCTGTACACCGTCGGGCAGTTTGAGGTCGCCCGAGCCTGGTCGCCAGGCCAGAATGTTGGCATTGTAACGACGAGCGAGGTACATTGCCGGACTGAACGATGCCGGCTGCAGTCGCGAGGTGGCGGAAGTGAGGGAAGATTCTCGAGCGTCAATGAGTCCGTCGCCTTTTGAACCAGCTTTGGGCGAGTCCAATTCTTGCCGTTTGGCCATATCTAAAGCTCAATGGAAGACAGGTAAAGGCGAGCAGAGTCCCGGACCGATGAGCCGATGCGTTTGCTGCAGTTCCCGATCTTCATGTGGGAGCTTTTATTTTGCAGTGTCTAGGTCTCCGTTCCCATAGGTAGTCAGCGCATGCGATGGTGCTTGGGTCTTCATGTCGCAAACAATGTGATGCTGTTCGAAAAAGGCTAGAGTCGGTTGGCAGTTTTTATGTGGAACATGCGGTGCCTGGATTTTGTCCTTTCTGAGTCCGCTCTCAGTCGTACTCTCACAGGCAGAAATTCTACATCTGACGAGCAATTGTAACATTCAAAGCACAACTGCATTTTCCGGGACGGAATCAGCAAAATCGTCCCAGGCCTTTCGCGATGCCGTGAGGAGCAGCCGCGCTAGCTTGAGAAAATCGACGTCAGTCCTTCGTACGTACGGAAGACGGAGATATTTTACCTTAGACTAATGGTACAGTACACTGGTACACTCGAATTTCCAGTTTGTACTACACCAGGAACAATACAGCCCGTCGCTACTCCCTCAATCACGCCCTCATTGCGCTTGAGCCTTTCCCATGTTCGCCGTCGCCTCTGCCAAGTTGGAGAGCTCCAAGGTATCGTGATGTTTCCTTGTCTCAATCTACTAAGCCTCATCTGGGGCACGATCAAGCATGTGAAGAATGCGGCTACCAAGCCCGCGCTTCAATGATGTCTTGTTTTTCGTCCCGAGTAACGAGGCCCACGCCTTGTCCAGCAATAGAGCGCTTCATGGCGGCAGAAAGGGCCCTCTTTGAGTTTCTTACGTCTTTCGTGCAACTCTCCCAATGGTCCGGTTCACTCTTTCTAAGAGTGCTTTACTTCAACAAAATCAGATTCCTTGCGTGAATGGCGCACTGCTCACTTTCTACGCAACATCATTTGACATGCGATCGCCTTAATCCGCACCATTCAGGACGCTCGACGTGACACGGACCCCATTATGGCCAGGTCTTCGAAATTGGGCTATCTCAACGCCTTGTGAAACTTACCAACAGCCGGATTGCATCAGAAAGCCTCCCTCACAGGCAGACACAGCGAAAAAATGTGATTCTTGTCGGGCCCACTTTGTCTGAGTCTCGTCGAGGTCATCGATTCGTATCGCGCCGCCCGGCGCTCAGCTCACCGACTTGTGTGGGTTCCTTATAACGCAGCGAACGTCAAAAACTTGATGAGATGCCAATCCACTGGGCAGACTCACAACTTGGGTACAGATGTTGTCATCAAAAGGGTTCACGAGGTATCCAGATCGATCTCCTCCAAAAGCTCCGCAGCATTCTACCCACCCTCACATCGACCGATGGCGGCAAAATCTGTATATTAATTTCTCGACAAGCACCGCTGTCGATGAAACTCCACGATGTATTCTCATCGTCGTCGCTGGGTCGGAAGAAGCGCAAGTCACTAAGGTGGACATGCGTGCGTTCTGCACAGACAAGGAGGAAATTCTGCTCGACAGTATCGACAACGGCTGGATATAGACCACAGATCTTTTGCGTAGGACAGAATTTTAAGAATAAACTGCAAGAGCGCGAGACCTGTTGACCAGTATGCCGGTCGCTCACTCGACCTACTAACAGACCCAGCGGCTTGCGAATCTATCCTGAAGCGTAAGCACGCGAACCATAGAAGAGCGAACTATTAGTCGAAATTTGAATGACCCCGGCCGGATTTAAGCGCTACCCAGGGTCGAGTTGACCAATCTTCACACTTCACATTCCGTTTTGACGGTGACCTACCCGACCCTTGGGCCTGTGCCTTCTTTCCTCTTTCTTTGCTATTTCATCTTCTGAGAATTGTGTTCGACCGGTCGTCGTATGCCGATTATTGTGCTCATGTACCGTACACTGGTCTGACGTAAAGCAACCTCGCGAAGTAGACATGTGAACCAACCATGTTGGGTCAACAATCGACTCTGCACGGTGGAAGAGATGTTGCAGAAGTGAGGGCCACCTTCAAAGGTGAGTGAGAAGGGTTATTTTTCTGGCAACTGTGCCCGTCGCGGTGCAGGCAGAACTATTCATGCTCCTAGAGAGAGAAAGGTAAACTTGCGGATGCTGGCATCACCTTTCGCGGCGGCAGAGTTAAGGAGTGAGAGGATGTCGTAGGCCTCCAGGCGCTGGCGGGGAAGCCACCATGACTGACCTGCTAGCCAACGCTAGGCCTGCATACGGACACGGTTACAGGCCAGCGGATAGTTCCCGGGCAGGAAGTGCTGCAACAGCCGATGATGGATCGGACTAGATGAACTGATTGAGCCAACGAGGTGTGGATACGTGGAAAGAATAGGAGGGTTAGTGAAGGCTGCTTCTGCATCAGAGATTAGTACAACCCTTTCAAACAACGACAGTTGCAGAGCCGAAGACCCCTCTGTCTTCCTTGCGCGGATGAAAGCAACAAGACTGCCTTCATGTGTATATACGGTCAGCGACCATGAAAATTTTGAGGACTCTCGTCTCTGCTAACCTTGGTCGCGCGTCCAAAGCGCAGTGAGAAGCTCGCCCAAAGCGCAAATCGCGGAGCTTGATCTAGCAAGGACATTCTACCAACACACATTGCGTACTCGATTACCAAATCTAGTCTTTTAGCTGCCGAGATTGAAGCGACCGAATCGCCTTATCGAATCTTTCCATCGATTTCTGCAGCAAAGCTTCTTAGCCTACGATGAAGTTTAAGAAGAAGCTTTAGGAGCTCAATTTCGAATGACAGGTCTCTATGCAGCCCCTTTTGAGTATAGCATTCTGGCAGCCCGCATTCAATGCACCATCTGTCCGCTCCACATCAAAATTTGCGACTGCCAAACTTGTCTCTGATCACCTCTTGACCCCTTCTGTAGTGAAGCTAAACCACAAGATTGCGTGGCATGGCCAGTCCGATCTTCACCTTTGCTCTATGGAGACCTTTGGAGTCACTTTGGCTTGATTTGAAACTCAAAGAAGCAAGCATGCTACGCATGCACCATGACAGCACGACTCCACGTTGTGCCTGCCTCCACCGCACTCTGGGGACTCTTCTCATCTTGCTTCGCCTTGACTTTCCTGGGTGGAAGGCAACAGCAACAGCAGATCCGGGTCATAGTTGAGTAAAGAAGGGCACGATGACATGAGAAGGCTGAAGGAAGCCAGGGGCTTATCTACATGGACGCATTTTTTGTCACGGCTAAGCTTCGATGGAAGGCGGGAGGGATGGAGTAGAAGACCTTGTGATCAGAACAATGATTCAGTTGCTAAAGTTTTTGGGCCACACGACAGCTGGGGAGGGTCATCGCAACACTGATCAGTTTCAAACGTTCTCTCGAAGATATCAGCGCAACTGTCTTAAAGACACCAGAGCAGCGAGAAGCTCTGTCAACGTCCCTGCCCTGTTGTCAAGATGCCGTGCACGCTTCGAGCGATGAGATAGACAGAGATTGCGTGTGTTCGAGAATACGGTCCGAATGTACGTGATTTGTTAGGAAAGAAAGAAAAGGGAAAGGATTTTATTATGCGAAAGCATTTGCCGAGCAAGGAGATGCTGTCACCCGGGAGCTGGCTTGCTCAACCAAGCTGGACTGCTGAATGCAGACCCATCCGCTCCGCCGCCTCGCTGTGTGGCGTGTTTTTCCTAAAGATGGTTCTTGGAGGGCTTGCTAGACGTATGTGTGTTGATGAATTTCACCATTCTGGTGCGAAAGAGCAAGAAGAGAAACAGTGCCGCTGCTCGTTGGGAGCAAGCTGAATGACTCAGTAATCACTCCTGCTGAATTCTCTTCGAGTCCATACACCCGAATGAGCCTGCAACTCTTCAATTGATGTCAATGGAGTGCGTCTTTAGGTGCTGCCGCAGATTGTCAGACCGTCCGAACGATTTCTGGCAATCAGAGAAGGAACATTGGAACGGTCGTGCCTGCGTGTGGCTATGGCGGTGACGTTCGAGATGTTCGAGACGCTTGAAATGCTTTTCGCACTTCAAGAAGTCGCAGGAATGACGCTCGTCTGCCGACAACACGATTAGTGGAGGCGGCTTTGTTGTGGGCACGTCTGATATTTGGAGCAGTTGGTTGGAGCGGGTCGCTGCTGACTTCCGACTTTTTGGGTGGCATTGAATCGGCGGTGGAGCCCAGTCGTCTGTCAAGCAATTTGACGGCAAATGCGCCGAGGGAGGCTCTGTGAATGACCCGAGCATCGATTGAGAGAGGTGCATACCAAATTGAGCTACGTTGCTCCTCGAATGCAAATCAGCAGGATCCGTGCACGATGCCAGACCTTTATAGGCTGCCATACTGTCCTGCCGAGCGGAGGCGCAGAACAGCTTGCTGATGCCGGCGTAATTTTGAACTTGTCGTTGTTGTTGTCGTTGTTGTTGTTGCTGCTGTTGTTGCTGCTGTTGGGGTCAGGGGCCAAGAATGAGCTCGTCCTTAAGGTACAGGTCAGTGCTGCTGCTGCTGCTGCGCCACGTTCTGCCTCCCTGTCCTTGCTGCTGGCGTTCGACGTTTAGCAGCTAGAATCGTCGGAGTTGCTGGCGGTGAATGGTGTCGCAAAAGGGGAACAGACAGGACATGGCGACGTTTTCACTGCGTCAAAAGTGGACGAAGCAAAAGAAAGAAGCTAGCGGACGGCTGACTGTGTCGCTATGCTGCCTCCAAGAGTGCGGGAAATTCAGTGGCTGCAAATTGATAGTCCTGAACAGCTCTGTTACCGGCTGGGGCGACTAGTCTGCTGCTTATGAAGCTGATGTGCTTTAGGCCTCATTGGCGACAATTGGAAGAATAATGTTGGTCTCAAGATGCCGGCAGGTGCCGCCAGAAGAGAAGGGCTCCCCGTACGCCTGATAAGCGAGGCGCTGTGTCGATTCCGAGCGGCTCGAAGATTGCTAAGTCGGAAAAACGAAGCGCAATCCACTTCAGACTTCGTATTACTTGCAGCGCGACCGGAAGTCCAGTGACGGCATGAATGAGCGCGCTCTTGGGCTGAACGCATGAAGTGG